GGTTGGGCACGAGGCCCTCGTCGGCGAAGCTCAGCTCCAAGAACTCACCTGAAGGCAGCGCCCCGCCGAGAGCCTCTTCCAGCGCCCCCGTCCTGGCAGATCCCGAGGTCCCATGATAACGCCAGCGCTCTGAGTACTGCGAGAGGTCCCGAATCGCCCCCACGGAGAGGGACTTGTGAGCAACTCCTTTTCCCCACATCGAGGCGTCGCACGCCAGGACCCTGGAACTGAACGGCTTGGCCAGATCATGGACGAGGAGGGGCAACAAAGACTGGATCCAGCGGAGCTCCCTAATGACCGACGGCCAGAACGGAGCAGAGTCCTCGGGGTGCTTAGCCATGAAAGCGTAGACCGCGTTGAGGCAGCAAAGGGTTTCTCTTTTCACCAGCGCCATGGAGACAAAGTGTCCGACAAGCCGAGAAAGCTGACGCCCAGTCCCCTGGCGGCGCTCCAGTGCGTGAAACAGTGCGAGCCATAGACGCCATACGCGGCGCCCCTTCGGCACAATACACCTATCATCTCGACGGAACTCCCAACCCAAGGCCTCGAGAACCTCTGGATCAAACCTCTTATCATGAACGATGAGACCCCTCTCCTCCATGATGTTGTTGATTTTTGTTTGGATGGACCTCCCCTTTTCCTCCTGAGTACTTACAGTAATGATGTTGTCCACGTAAGGTATAACCGCCCCCTCCTCCAACTTCGGAATGACCTCCCGATCCGTGATCAGGAAATGGTGCTTATCTGGGATCGCCTCCTGGATCAACGAAGTGACGACATACTGGCATACATTGACAGCGTGCGACCACCCCATAGGCACGGCTCTGAACCGCGGGTAAACACGAGTAGCAGGATCCACTGGGACTCCAGACACCTCCGAGATCTGTAAGTCCTTGGCACTGAGGGGCTCCATGGTGAAATACCTCCTAAGGGGGTCGGGGAGTTCCATAGTGTAAAAAGCATCCTTCAAATCCGAGGAAAACGTGTGCAACAGACTTTCCCCTTGGAGTCTCAACCTCGAGAAAGCGTTAGCCGTGGGGAGGTCTGGCGACTCGGGGACCTCAAAACTGCAATTGGAAATCCGAGCGTCCAGGATGAGGCGCTGCTTCGCCCCGTCCGACTTCCAAACCGCAAAGATCCCCGTTCGGACTCCATCCGTTAAACTGAACTCGACGAGTCCCGCGGCCTGAAGGCGAGCCACGAGAGACTTGTACACCCTTTTAGAACGCAGACGTGGGTCGCTGTACGGCCTAACTAGACCAGCTTCCTCACGATTCCTTTGCTGCAGCTCCTTAGGCAAAACTATATCATATGAAATCCTCTTGATGAACTCAGCGCCGCGGACCCCCAAAAGGTCGCCCAGGGGCCGCGGCTGGAAACCAGACTGTGGGAGGGACAGCTTGTCCACATCTAGAGGAGCCAGGTGGCACGGAATCCCAGCGTAGTCTTCGACCCCCTGGAGCTCAGTGAAGGCTCCCCGAGGGTCGAGCCCCTTGGGTGGACGGCCCATGCGCCGCACCCGAGAGGTTAAAAATGCATGCTCAACAGGCGAAAGAAGCGAGGCGTGGCCCTCAGCCGGCTCAGGAAGGTCATCACCTCGCTCAAGCTCCGCGAGTGCGCGACCCAGGGCAGCAACCTTCTCACCGACGTGCTCCCTTCTCCTGAAGCGTCGCTGGACAGCTCGGCACCCCCGAAGCCGCGAAGGCCCAAGAGCAGAAACAGCCTCCTTCACTGCCGCGTCACTGGCTGAAATGACGCGGCCCCCCTCCCGTGAAGCCGGCCAGGCGCGAGGGAAAGCCTGACCAACGCTCATCATCATCCCCGCCTCCGCAAGGCGCGCTCCTCACGCGCCTTGCGGGATTGTTTGTCAATAGCACTCTGCCGCTCGAGCTCCTTCGACGTGTACGTGATCAGATCGGGAGCGATCATCAGGTTGCCCTGGCTCTGGTGGACTCCCAGCATGACCGTCTGCTCCTCCAAGTCCACTCCCGTCTTGGAACTGGCTGCACCCTCCTGCCGGGTACGTTCACGATGATAGTACTCGATCAGCTGGGCGGAGCGCAGCAGATGCTCCATCGATGCCAGGTTGACCAGGTCGAGCTGATCGTACTCCGCGCCTGTCTGCACGGCACGCAGCACAGCCTCGTGGAACGAGACGCCGTAGTCGTCGCTGTTCAGCTTGGCGGTGGACTTCCACCACTCGTGGTGCGCCAGCGGTCCGTTCCTCCGTCGTAGGAAGTCCAGGCACCAGCGTGTCGTCCTCGGGCCAGGGATGTGCGTCTCCCAGTCCGAGAAACTCACGAGCTCCATCTTCTCGACCGCATCGCTGAAGTCCCGCTTGCGCTGACCGGCCACACTCTTGATGGGCAGGGTCCGCGCGTCGCCGGCGTCGTCCGTCTCGATGCGGAACTTCTTCTTTACATCGGCCAACTCAGCAGCTGGGCATCTGACGCAGAAAACTCTTTTCTCCACGCCATCATGAACATACGAGTGGATCGCCCGGTCGCCGCTGATGACTGCCTCCTCATTGAGGCGGACGACACTGCCCGTCTGGATGCCTGGCGCCTCCTCGATAGCATACCATAGATCGGCATTGCCTGCGGGAGCACCTCCACCGCGAGCAGCCTCGGATCGCGCCAAAAGCCTGGCCTCCTCTCGAAGGCCCTGCAGGTGGGCTCCCTCCGGCTCCTGGCGGAACCGATAGACATCCTGCGGGTCAATGCCGTGGGGACCTCCACCACGACGGTCGGAAAGACGGAAGCCCTCGATGTCCTCGCTGTGGCGGCTGAAGTCCTCCATATACACATCGCTGTCGGGAGTGGCGATGATCCAGTCAGTCGCCGAATCTCCCACCTTCTCCAGTAAAAGTCTTTCGTGCCATATGGGATGACCCGCGTACTTCACGAACACTCTCGTGCCCCGCTCCATGATTCTTGACTGGCTTCAGAACCTGATGCGGCAAACGCACAGGTTGAGCTGGGGCAGATGTCAGCGCTGACGCCGCCTCGTGAGCAGCACGACGGGCAGTCCTCTTCTCGAAAAATCCAGGCAGCTGAAGCCAGATGATCTGGAAGAAAGCGGTGGTCACCACTCCGCAGCAGCACCCTGATATGAAGAGCAACGCCGCTCCGAGCGCGAGAATGACTGCAACTAAGATACCCTCTGAGGTGTATGCTCCGTTCAGGCTAGCGGTCCAGCCAAAGCAATAGAATGAGGCCTCGAGGGCCTCTCTCTGACAGGCGCCTGCTGTGGTGAGAGCAGGCCACCAAGAAGACATACAGTTGCTGCTGAGCCCACACAGCTACAGAACAAAGAAGGGGTCGCACCGTTCTATCAAACTTCAGAAGAAACACGTGCTGGCACTGCTTATATTTAGTGAGACCGTTACATAGACACTAACACTGATAGACCAATGACACCCGACAACCGATTGATACTGATATCCATAAGACATGTTTAGACCGACGCATCGCGAGATCTGCCGATGCATTGATGGTGGTGTCGGCATATTGGTAGGGCAATCGATAGATACCAAGACCGGTTTCACGCAATGGTGCCGTGGTTGCCACGCGGCAATCCCAAAATTTGCCAACGGCTGTTCCGCGGTCGCTCCGTGGCTGTCTCGCGGTTGCCCCGTAGTTGCCCGTGGCGGGAGCGGCCAAGAGGGGGGTGTGCAAGAGAGGGGGGGTGCAAATCATGACCGGCGGCATGTGCGCGGCCCAGCGGGGGGGCCAGGGACGTAATGCAATAAGAAGAAGCGCCATGAAATCTGGAGAAATATCATGACCCCCGCCATGATATCCACCCCCCCTAGTCATCACCCCCCACCCCGAGAGCCGCCAAAGGGGGGCCTCCTGGCCCTGGGCCCCCCTGGGCCTCCCGAGCCGCTCCCCTGGGCGGCACGCGGAGGCGGGGAAGGCGAGGGGGGAAGGCCTCCTAGGAGGGGGCTGCATCTTGAAGGCGCCAGCCTGGCATTTGTAGAAAAGGCCCGCGCCTTCTAAGAAGCAGCCCCCTTCTAAGCCTTCCCCCCCCCCCTACCTGAGGTCGGGCATGTCCTCCTACAGGCGGATTTGGGAAGAAAAATAACACATAGACAAACATTTTCAAACATAACGGAAAATAGCAGAACATCGTCCCCTGACTATGGTTTGACTATTCTTGAATACTCCTCCTGTAGAAAGACCTGCCCGACTCAAACCCAAGCCCCCCTGGACCGTCCGAGCCGCCCCCCTCCCGCCCGGAGATCCGGCGGCGCGATCTTGAGGCACGGCCCGCCCGAGCCTCGCGCCAGCTTGGGCCGTCCTGGGGCCCGAGACCCGCCTCTGGAGGCCCGGGTGGCGACAAAGCGGCCGACTCGACGCTCCGGAGAGAGGAACGCTGCGCAAACAGAACGGCCGTTCTCTCTGCTTCTGCAGGAGAAGAAACGGCGCAGCATCTCGACGATGTCATGATTGTGTACTTCTGCTTCTGCTTCTGCAAGAGAAGAAACGGCGCAGCATCTTGACAATGTCATGATTGTGTACTTCTGCTTCTGCTTCTGCAAGAGAAGAAACGACGCAGCATCTTGACGATGTCATGGTTGTGTACTTCTGCTCCTGCTTCTGCAAGGGAAGAAACGGCGCAGCATCTTGATAATGTAATGATTGTGTACTTCTGCTTCTGCTTCTGCAAGAGAAGAAACGACGGCGCAGCATCTTGACAATGTCAGGATTGTGTACTTCTGCTGTTCGAAACCTCGCGCGAGTTTCGGAAACTCTGACCAGATTTCATGAATCTGCGCTGGAGCCCCCCTGGCGGCGCCTCCTGCGCCGCCACCGGCGCGCTCCGCGCGCCAGGGAGGCGGGGTCCAGCGCCGATCCACGAAGCTGCGAGGAGCTCCGAGCATTTATGTACGCTGCTGTTCTTCTTCGAATTTTCTCTCGATGCCGGATCTTTGGGTCCCTCTCCTCTCGAGATCGGCGACGGCGTCTCTTGCCCCCCCCCGCCCGTGGGGTAGTCGCCGCTCTTCGAGCGCGAGCGCCCCGAGTCCTGGGGCGCGTGCCGCGATCTGGGAGCTCACGCCAGCAGGGCAAGAATGACGTGGACGAGGGCGAGGACAACGACGCCGACGCCAGCAGGACAAGGAAGAACAGTGGCGAGGACGATGATGACAACGAGGATGCCGCCATGCCGTACCATGCCCCACACCCCCCTTCTCTCCCCCTGCCACGCCTCCCCCATGGAGTGGTGCGCAAAATGGTGGAACAAACCGATGCGGGATTGAGCTGCCAAATCCCAGACTGCCGCCTCACCTGACTGAATGTATCGTCATCAACATATGTACACATATACATGTTTACATGTTCTCCCTTCTCTTCTTCACCTCCTCTCTCTCCCCCCTCAACCCTGGAGGGGGAAGAGGAACTGTCATAGGGCCATAAGGCCCCGAGTGGCGGATGAGAAGGACGAGGGCGACCACGACGGGGCCCTTGGGCGGGGAATGAGGGGGAGGACGAGGGGGAGGACGAGAGGGAGGCGAGCAACGAGGGCGTCAGGGGAAGGACGAAGGGGAGGAGAGAACGAGGGGGAGGACGAGGGGGAAGGAGAGCAACGAGGAGGACGAGGGGGAGGAAGAGGGAAACTTGGGAGGTGCAGGAATCGTACGGAGAAGACCCTGGCGTGGAGGGAGAAGAAGGAGACCAGGGTAAAGCCAACATTCGTCAACGATGCTGCGATGCGCCCTCCTTGCTGACTACCTGACTGCCTACCTGCCCGACCGCCCCAAGCCAACCCGAGGACCCACATGTCGGGTTGAAGGCGGGGGGGCACGTGTTCCACATGTGTGTTTGTTCGTTTTTGTTTGTCCATGCTCCCCGACGCCCCCCCCCAAAAAAAACTGGGGATGGAATGCCAACTTCGATAGGGGAACGAAGAATGCCATAAACATACAACCTCGGAGGTCCGCGCGGAGTTCTCGGATCGGCGCTGGGGCCCTCCGGCGGCGCCTCTGGCGCCGCCCCTGGCGCGCTCCGCGCGCCAGGGAGGGGGGTCCAGCGCCGATCCGAGAAATCCGCGCGGACCTCCGAGTTTTTATGTTTCGGCGGTCGACAAGCCTCCCTTTAGTAAGCCTCCGGCCTGGGACCGAAACCGACGGACTTGGACCCGCAAAAATGACGGCCGCGACGCCCTCTCGCGAACGAAAACGGCCAACTCCTGAATCGGCGTGTCAGGGTAGGTCTGTCCACCCCCGAACTGTCTGTGCCACTCCTCGCTCCCCTATGTTTCTGTCCGTGCTTCTGTCACTGTTCGTCCCCCTATGTTTCATGTGCTTATGTTTACGCCACTTGTATGCTTGATGTGTATGCCAATGTTTATGCCAATGTTTATGTTTGATGCTTGATGTTTGATGTTTGATATTTGATGTTTGATGTCTATGTCGCGGCCTTCGGGCTGGCTTGCGTGGCCCCGTGGGAAGGCGCCCTGCCCCAGGGCGCCCTCGCCCGGGCGCCCCCGCCCTCGGGGGAGGCGCGCGCGCTCCGGGGATCCGCGGGGCCCGGCGGGAGCTCAAACCTCGTGGTCGGCAGGTCTTCTCGGGGCCAATCCTCTTAAAAAGAACGTCCTGAGGCCTTCCTCGGGAGGGTGTTTCTAATATCTCTGGAGGGGAGCTGCCCCCCCCCCTGCCCCCCCGCTGGCCCTCGGGGCCAATCTACGGAACCGAACTTTCTACACCGATGCTTTGTTTTCCGGTCCCGCGCTGAGGCTGGCACGGGGAAACAGATGATGGTGTATACGGCATCCTGGTGCAATACAAATTTGTTGCTTCCGGGGGGAGACGGGGGAACAAGTTTACACCACACCACCCCGACGTCGTCCCTGGCCCTCAAGAAAGTCCTGGGATTGAGCAACAGCCCGCCACTGGTAATGTATATGCTCCAGTTTCCGATAATCCTCATCTGAAAAACATCGTCCTGAAGTCGTCCTCGGGAAGGTGTTTCAAATGTCTCTGGAGAGAAACTGCCCCCCCCTCCCCCCCGCTGGCCTTCGGGCCACGAGGACTGTTCGGTGGCGACTCGTGGGAGCCTCCCATACCATCTTGTCTACTCCTGCGAATCGACGCTAACCGACCTCAAATCGACGCTGGTCGACGCTCAACCAACGCTCAACCGACACTGCCCGAGGCAAAATCGGCGCTATCTCATGGACACCCGAATGCTAATCGACGCCAGTCGACGCGAAAGACGGAATTGCGACGGTATGCCAAACTCCCATGATTTGCGACCGAACGGTTGCGGCACGTGGTCATGAAATCCGAAGAAGTCCCGAGCGGAAACAGGTCTTGAAAATGAACCGCCCACAATCTGGGCAACTAGAGGCCACCTAATGGAGGCATATGATTAAAAAAAACATTTGAGGGCGGACGTTTAAAAAAATAGTTTCGCCGGCCTGGTTGGGCCCACATAAGGGGGGGAGGGGGCGCCGCCCACGGAGGGCCCCCCCAGGGCGAACAAATAAAGTTCTCCGGGGGACAATTATGGTTGCCCCCCGGGCCGTCTGGAGGGCCAGGGGGGGGGCGAGGGCAGACAATTCGGAGCGGGGGGGGTCGGCCCTTCCCTCCTCCCTCCTCCTTCCGCTCCTCCTTCCTCCCTCCTCCCTCCGGCCTCCCTCACGGGGCATCCTGCACGGCGCGGCACAGCACGGGGCATCCTGCACGACACGGCACTGCACCACGCGGCACGACGCAGCAACATAACACGACGCCGCAGGCGACCGCACGGACGCGCGACACCACTTGGGCGGGAGCGAATCACTTGAATTGTTTCTTGTGGCCATCACAGTATGTGTCCACGCGACGAGCGAACAAACAAACGCTGGAGGGAAGGAGAAAAGGGGGAACGATTAAAAAATCAGTTTCGGGCCCCAGCCCTCCTCCCTCCTCCCTCCTCCCTCCCACCTCCCTCCTCCCGCCCTGCCTCGCCTCCCTCCACAATTACACAATATGAATACTACTCTCCCACTTCCCCTGATGGCGTCCGGAAGATGTTCGGCACCCCCCCGCGTACTGTTTTTTTACACACAGGATTCCCCGGAGTTGGGTTTTCGCTTGTGTTTTTTTCTCAAATGCTGCTCTCGCTGAGGCGCTGGCCTAATTTTCGGGTCCCGCTCCTTCCGAATCGTGTTCCCGCTGCAGCGCTGGCCTCATTTCCGCGCTCCCGCTCGTTCCGAATCGTGCTCCCGCTGCAGCGCTGGCCCAATTTCTGCGCCTCTCGTTGTTCCAAAACGTGCTCCCGCTGCAGCGCCGACGTTTTCGATCCTTTTTAAGAAGCCCCAAATCTAGAAAATGATCCCCGGCAAAAACATTGGAGGTGATTACACATCCGGTGTCGATTCGTTGATTTTTGGGGCCGCAGAAAGCCCCCCCCCCCTTTTGGGCGGCGTCCTTTTCCGCACAGGATTCCCGGGAGTTTGGTTTTCATCTATGTTTTTGGAGTCGCACAACCACCGGAAAGCCGCGGCCGCGCGAGGCGACGGGTAATCCTTGTTGCGCATATCATGTCTGGTGTACTCGGCCCGCACAACGCTGCACTTTTTGTAATTCCAAACAGGTGCTTTGCCAATCTTGCCCGTCTCTTTCTTGACATCGCAGAAAATGCGCACGAGCCGCAACGAATCAACCTCCTCCCGGGCGAGGTCGTACATGGGGACGCCGGCGCCGCCGACAGAGAAGAGTCCGGTGTTTGCATCGTACCGTGGGCCTCATTTTCGGATCGGTGTTTGGCCTCCGTCGTTCAGGATGGCGTTCTCGCCCCAGCGCGGGCCTCTTTCTCGCGCGCCCATCCGCCCGCCACCACCGCGCCGCACCACCACCACCCACCACCACCACCACCACCACCACCAGCACCAGCACCAGCACCAGCACCAGCACCAGCACCAGCACCAGCACCAGCACCAGCACCAGCACCAGCACCAGCACCAGCACCAGCACCAGCACCAGCACCAGCACCAGCACGCATCAGCACCAGCACCAGCACCAGCACCAGCACCAGCACCAGCACCAGCACCAGCACCAGCACCAGCACCAGCACCAGCACCACCACGCACACACGCACGCACGCACGCACGCACGTGCACCACCACCCACTACGCACGCGCGCGCGGAGCCACAGGTCCGCTACGACACGCGTCCGCGGATAGAGAAAATCAGCGCCATGGTAAGGGATGGGAGGGAGGGGTAGGACGTCAGATATGACGCGAGCGCACCTAGCTTGTCCCCTCCCCTCCCTCCCTCCTCCCTCCTCCCTAGGGAGGAGGGAGGAGAGGAGGGAGGCCTCCTCCCTCCTCCCTCCTCCCTCCTCCCTCCCCCTCCTCTCTCCTCCCTCCTCCTCCTCCTCCCTCCTCCCTCCCTCCTCCCTCCTCCGTCCCTCCTCCCTCCTTCCTCCCTTCCTCCTCCTTGGAAAAATCGAGAATCTTCAGGGGGAAAGGGGGGGGGACGATTAAAGTTGCTGGGGGGGGACGATTAAAAAATCAGTTTCGGCCCCCAGATTCTAGTAGTACGCCCAACTCTTCACGGATAGGGCCCCCCGGGGGAGGGGGGTGGGGTGGGGTATTTTTTTAATCATATGCTCACATTAGATGGGGTCGGAATCGATGGGGTCGAATGAACGCGCCGCATCGCCAATGCATCGCCAATGTATATACGATGCATCGGCGACGTCGTCGTGGAGAAAATCGGGCTCCGCATCGAACTGCATCGCCGATGCATCGGCGATGCGGCGTGATCCTCCGACCCCATCTACTCGGACCCCATCCGGGTACCGGATTGCGGGAGGCCCAACATGACTGCTTCGCTCCTTGAAAGCACCACCCTGGCGCGCGGAGTGTGCCAGGGACAACGCCAGAGGCGCCGCCATCGGAACCCGACCCAGAACTCCGAAGTTGCGTTTCTTGGGGGAACGAATAATGACATAGACATACAACCTCGGAGGTCCGCGCGGATTTCTCGGATCGGCGCTGGGGCCCCCCGGCGGCGCCTCCGGCGCCGCCTCTGGCGCGCTCCGCGCGACAAGGAGGGGGGTCCAGCGCGGATCCGAGAAATCCGCGCCGACCTCCGAGTTTTTACGTTTATGTAATTTTTCGTTCCCCTATTTTGGTTCGCTGCGTGGACCCCGAGGTCTAGACCCCTTCTCTTCGACATGGTTTCCTCCGGAATCTTTCGGTGACGGCCCCCGGGCCTGCAGAGGGCCCCCAGGCCGAAGATAGAGGCCCCGGGTCGCCGCAACATCGTGCCAGAACGCCGAGAGATGGCCTCCAGACGGCCCAAAATGTCTCCAGGGACGCCCCCTAGCGGCCTCCAGGAGGCCCCAAGGAGGGCCCGAAGAAGCAACAAGCGTCCCATTCCCTCCGTAAAAAGGATGGTTCAAGCATATTCGCACTTGTGCTCTCACTATGTCCAGGAAAGCTCAAGAGGCCCCCAAAAGCGCTCCAAGGCGGCCCATGGCTTCCCCAAGAGGGGGCCCAGAAGGGGTAACCCAAACGGAAATCTCGAGCCCTGGGGCCCAAGACGCCCCCAGGTTTGCCCAAGAAGCCCCCAAGAGGCTCCAAGAGGCCCACAGGAACCCCAAAATGGCCCACAGGAACCCCAAAATGGCCCCCAAAGGCCCCCCAAAGCCCTCCAGGAGGCCTCCAAGAGGCCCAAAAGCTGCCTCCAAGACGCCCCTGAAAGGCCTCACACGAGACCCCATCAGCCATCCAAGTGGCCTCAGACCCACAATCCAGGCACGGTGGCGGCCTGGGCCCGTGTTCATGCTGTCTGCAAACCTTTATGGGCAATTGTACTGCCCCCTTGGCACGTTTTTGGGCCGTCTCGGACGCCTTGTGGAACGTGGCCAGGCCCTCGGAACCGGTTCATCGAGCACCCGTTCGGGTCCTCGGAACCGACGGTTCAAAGGGCACCCCCGACAGGGCTCGACGGAACCAACGGGTTCAACGAGCACCCTGCAAGGTGCTCGGAACCCACTAGTTCAATGCCAAGCCGTCCGAACACAACCCATGCCTCAGTGCGTCGACCTCGTCGTCGCCGACGCCGTCGTTGTTGTTGTTCCCGGGGATCGCCCTTGAGCCCGAGGAGGAGGAGGAAGAGGAGGAGGAGGAGGACGACGACGACGACAGCGCGGGTTCGACGTCGACGAACAGGACGAAGGCGCGACGGCGACAGGCGGCAGCCGAAAGGCCTCCAAGAAGCTCAAGAAAGCCTCATGATGACGTCCGATGACCGCCCGTGAAAGCCAAAAACGCACCCAGGAAGCAAAAGCGACGCTTGCCGGACGTACTGGAAAGACCATGGGGAACGAAGTAGAATATAGGGATCGCCGAATGTGGCGTTAGCATGTTGAATCTTCTTGTGACGGTCCCAGGGCCTGCAGAGGGTCCCCGGAGGCCGAAAAAAATACCAAAAGCCTCCCGTCGTGCCTGTTCCGCAGCAAACAAGTTGGGGAAGGCCGATCCAAGAGATTCACGCGAACCTGCGAGAGTGTAGGTTTGTGCAGAGCTGGTGCAGAACGCGGCTTGTCCAAGCCCTCGCCCGCCGGGCGCGACGGCGCGGGAGCTATACGCGCGCAGGCGCGATGAATGGGGGAGAAGGGTGGGGGACGATGGAGGCCAGAAGGAAGAAGAAAGGGAGGGAGGGAGGGACGAGAAGAGGGAGGGAACCACGAGTAGGGGGGAAGACGAGGACGAGGAAAGAGAGGAGCGTCAATGATTCTAACAATGATGATGCTGATGCTGGTGATGCTGATGACGGTTATGACGGAGATGATGATGGTGGTGGTGATGATGATGGTGATGATGGTAGCGATAGCGATAACGATGACGATGACGATGACGACCATGATGATGGTGATGTCGATGATACTGATGACTATGATGATGGTAATGATGATGCTGATGATGATGATGGTAATGATGATGCTGATGATGATGACGAAGATGACGATGACGATGAGTATGATGATGAGGATGATGATGATGAGGATGATGACGAAGACGACAATGATGGCGCCAAGGATGACGACGGCTATGACGATGATGATGAGGAGGACGAGGAGAGGAAGGAACGATGATGATGAAGGATCCCCGCGGTCTCGCCGTTGCGCGTTCGGTCGCGCGCAACGGAAAGGTTACAAGAACATCCAGTCGAAGCATGACCGCAAGAGCGTGGGTCAGGAACACGAGCCCCTTCGCAATGGGCCGAAGGCCCCGTGATGTACCACCACCCGAAGAGAATTCCAAGATGCAAGGGAACAAACACGAATAATATAATTGTACACATCGAGGGGTCGGAATCTTCTTGACCCTCGTGCCAAACGTGCATCGCCTTCCTTACCACTCTACGTCCGTCCTCTGGCCCACGGGCACCACGTGTGGCTCGGGGACACGCGGCACACGAAACCTGCAGGCCGGCGCGGTCCTTTTTCTTCGCCGGCCCACTGGAGGAACTGCTACCCGCGCTGCTGGAGCTGCTCGACTTTTTCTTCCTGCTCTTCTTCTTCTTATTCTTTTTCTTGCCCTTCGACTTGCTCCTGCGGACGCCCAACGTGGGCACCGTTCGGCAGGCCACGACTCTGGGGCGTCGTCCGTCCACAGCTTGCTACGCAAAGCATGCCCGCTTGACCGCAACCCGTGGTGATCGGGTACCTGCCGTCTCTCCCCTAATCTTGAAGACCTCCCTTGTGGGGACAGAGTACGTGGGTCGGGGATGGACAGACCTCTCTTTAGAAAAACGTGGTTTAGTGACAACGACCTGAGGCCCAAACCTGGCGGGCGCAAGCCTGGAAAATAACGGCCACGGCGCCCTCCCGAAAACCGAAAACGGACAATTGGAGGATGGCGCCAAATCGCTCAACAATCGGCGATGCATCGGCGCCGTCGGCGGTGCATCGGCGACGCTAGCGCGGAGAGCCGATCGCCGATCGCCGATCGCCGAGAGCGCGAGCGCGGAGGATGAGGCTCCACATCGAGCCGCATCGCCGATGCATCGGCGATGCGGCGCGCTCCTCCGACCCAACCTACGTACTCCGATCCCACGTGGGAAACCTAGCAATATTAATGCACAACACCTAGCGGAAGCGATCGACGCCGTGCTGCACTCCTCTCTCCTGCCCAGCCCGAACGCTTCCGCCACTGCATGCAGCACCACGTGCGGCGGCGCGGAGAGGCCTCCGCCGACGCCCACCTCGCCTGGGGGCGAACCAGGCGTGTGAGGTAACGGGCTCTCCCCCTCCTCGGCGCCGATGGCGCCAGGCAGGGCGCGCGGATGGCGCCAGGCAGGGCGTCTCGTGGCCTGGGTCTTCACCGTAGAAGTTCCCCCATGATCCCCGAGGTGCCCCTCTGGGCCTCGCGCCGGCGCCGAGGAGGCCCTGGCTCGGTGATCCTCAGAATTCGGCGGTGGACAAACCTCCCTTTAGTAAACCTCCCTTCAATGAAAACGGCCTGGGACCGAAACCGACGGGCCTGGACCCGCAAGAGTGTCGGCCGCGACGCCCTCTCGCGAACCGAACACGGCCAATTCCTTAATCGACGCGTCAGGGTAGGAGGTCTGTCCACCCCCGACCTCCCCCTCCCCCCCCCGGGTCCAGAATCCCACTGGACGGGGGGGGGGGGGGGGCAGCCTCGGAGCCTCCACCTCCGCCCGCCGTGGCCTCCGAGATGCGCGAAGTGCAACGCTCCAGGACGGCGCAAGAACTCCGGCACGCCAGAGGGGCCTCCATTTAGCGTTAGGGTTTCGGCTTTCGGCTTTCGGCTTTCGGCTTTCGGGTACCCAGACAAGTAACGGAGACCGGCGGCACAAGAACTCCAACGCCTCCACGATGCCAAAAGGAGTGCCCGAGTACGGTTGAATGATCTTCGAACTCCAGACTGGCCCACCCCAGCCTGGCCCAAGACGACCGAGCAGGCCCCCCCGGGAGGGCCGGCAGGGGGCCGCAGAGGGCCCCACCCCTGCCCGATGGGGCTCCCAGGACGGCCAAACAGGCTGTCGCGAGTGAAGGGGCCCAGGGACACACAAATACATACACACAAATCCGCCGACCCCTTGGGGTCATCGGCGTGTGAGATGCTTCCCCCCTCCCCAAACCCCTCCCCCCGGAGCCTGGTCCGGTCGTTTTGGAGGGGGGGGGGGGGGGGTCCGGCCGGATTCCCCGGGATCCGCCGGCGCGGTCCGGGGGGGGTCATCCGCTCCAGAGAGTCTGCTGGGGGGGCCGCAAACGAGCGAAGAGGCTCCCAAGAAGCTCTGCAGACGGTCCAAGAGGGCCCCGAGTCGCCGAAAAAACACTCGAAGACGGTCAAGATGGCCTCCAGATGGCCCCAGATGCCTCCAAGACGCCCCAAGAAGCTTCCAAGACGCCTCCCAAGATGGCCCCAAGAGGCCAAAATCGTCGATTTCCATTGGTTTTTTCAACGTTTTTGGCCTTCGCGTTTTTTCGGGCTTCCGACGCTCCAAGACGGCGAAAGAAGCCCCCAAGACGGCATCAAGACGACCCGAGAGGCTCCCAAGTGGGCCCCAACACGGCCCAAGAGCGCCTCAAAACGGCTCAAGAGGGCCTTCAGACAGTCCAAGAGGGCCCACAGAGGGGCCCAAGAAAGGCTCCAGACGGGGACCACGAACCTAAAATTCTAGCCTTCCGCCCCAAAAGGCGCCAAGGAGGCCCCAAGAGGCCTCCAAGAGGCTCCAAGAAGCCCCCAAGAGGCCCCCAACAAGCCCAAAAAAAGCCCCAAGCTGCCCCAAAACAGCTCCCCAGAAGCCTCCAAACTGCCTCCCGCAGGCCCCCGAGAGGATTCTCACGACGACGGCGCCAGAGGCTCCCACAACGGTCAACGAAGCCCCCAAGATGGCCCCAAAAAGGTGCCCAGCCTACGCCGTCGAGTCTGTCGCCGCCATTGTCGTCCTCGTCGTGTTCTCCTGCTCCTTCTCATCCTCCTCTTCCGCCCCCTCCTCCCGTCTCCCCTCTCAGCTTTCTGTCTCGTATTCCCTCCACTGGCTCACTTTTCACCTTCTCCGCCTTTGGCTGCTCCCCCATCCTCCCTCCTCCACGTCCCCCTTATCCATCCCGTCCCCAGCGGTCAGATTCCTCGCAACTTCCGTGCCTTGTCGCAATGCTCGTCACTTGGTTCCGCCGGGCGTTTCGGAGGGTCTCTCCGCGGCGCTCGTCCCGCTTTAAAACACTTCGCGCACACAACTGGGTTGTTTCGCTTGAAATAATTCTTCTTCTGGTCTTTCGACAAATGGCCCCCGTCTGAAAACGCTGGTTTCTTCCCGTCCCCGTTCGGTGGGCACGCGGAGCATTCAAACTTTTTCGCCCCCGTGCGCGCATCGCCCCAGAAAAAAAAACAAGGGGTCGGCGGATGTGGCGTAAGATTGAAGAATAACAGGATTCTCTATATTTTCCCATATCTTCTGGGTTTTTGGGCTCCCCCCCACTTCCCATACCTTCCCATATTTTCCTGGGAGTCGACGATGAATTGTGTCTGTGTGTTTTTGTTCCCTCCTGAGAGAGGATCCCCGAAGGGGCTGCCGAGAGGCCCAACAGGGGGAACTCGAGCCCGGGGGCCCTCCCCCGCATACGATGGCCTCCAAGAGGTCCAGGCACCCAAGGAGTCGAATAGGGGATCGACTGCAGAATCTCGGGTCGGGCGAAAGGGGGGGATTGCAAAGGGGGGATTTGACAATCAGCTCACGTAGCTGATTTTCCCGGCGCCTCCCGGCGCCAGAGGCGGCTATGTATCGAGGACTGGGCCCCTCGGTGAGGCCGAAACCAGCTGCATGCAGCAAATTTCGTAACCCCCCCTTTCCCAATCCCCCCCTTTCGTCCGGCCCGAGAATCCATGTGCTCCAAAGTTGCGTCTCCCGCCGAGCAAGCAGGAAGCACGCAGGATGCTCGCAGATCTACAGCACATGAGAGGTTCAGCTCCCATAGCTTTGGCGGGGAGGGCAAAATTGGGGCAAATCAGTTAGGGAGTCGATCCCGAATACAGTCGGGGAATTGACCTAGGGAACCCAAAATAAGGAACGAGGTCCCTTCTTTCCATAAGTTAAACTTCGATTTCCGATCGAAAACATAAGGAAAACCTGAGGCAAGCTGCGAAACACTTAAGGAACGCGGAGCCCCTCCCCAACGAAAAGGGTTCCTTCTTCAGGGTCCCGACTGTACTCGGAAGAGCTCCCTAAGAGTCCGGCGCCCCCCCCCCCCTCCAAGGCACCCCCCCTGGGAGCCCCTGAGAGGAAAGGCTCCCGGGAGGCCGCCGATCCTGGGCCTCCGAGGAGCCCCCCCCCCCCCCCCGAGAGCTCGAGCCAGGAGCGACCACAGCAAAGAGTCGACCAGCCGAAACCGTCCACTAGAAACCCAACCCAAAACCAGAAATCTTCCACTAGAAACCTTCCACTAGAAACCTTCCACTACAATCCCAACCCGGACCAGAAACCTTCCACTACAAACCTTCCACTAGAAACCTTCCACTAGAAGCCTTCACAACCTTTCCAGAGACACCAGGACGACCGTGGACTTTTTGGGCGTGGGAGCGTCACGCTCTCCGCAGCAAGACCGTCGAAGCCCAGGAAACCCGGGGCACCATGGAGGCAAGCAGGGTGTCTCTTGGCACGGGTTCCCACTGTACGCGCAGGCAGCACGACGGGTCGCGGCAAACAGCACCAACAGAGTCGGAAGCGGCACAGCTCTTCGTCTGGGGGTCGGAGACATGGCGTGAGGCGTACGCCTCTTCTGAGAGTCCCTGGAGGGGAACCCATAGAGCCTTCCGGAGCTCGCCTAGCCCTGACCCTCCACGCCCCCTACCTCATCTATTGAGCAGGGACCGACCGTCCAGGCATTCCTATAGCCCTACCACGAAATGTTCTTAGAACCCAAAAATGTTCTAATGGCATAAACAATGCTCTTAGAACATAAACCCGATGTGATAAAGCAAGACGATCCCAGCCAGAAATGTTCTAAGAACACTTCGTGGAAACCAGAAAGGTTCGTAGAACAGTTAGGGCTATAGGCGAGCCAGGACGCTTCGCCACTGCTTGAGTCGACTTCCTCTCCTGAGTATCCCTACCTCTGTCGCCTCGCCCGCTGCCCGACGCCGTCTCGGCCCACGGGCCGGCCTTTGGAGCTTCACTGTGCCGGGAGCTCGACTCCCCGGCAGCTAGCAATGGCCCGCACGGGGCCGCGGATGTGGTAAAACAAATGTGTATCTTGATCGACCCGATCCACTTTCAGACCTCTTGAATCATCGTCGGCCGATGGCTGGGGCAAAACTCCGAGGAGACCTGAGCAGAATGCCCTGCCCGAATGAGCCGTGAATCACAGACTTTCAATCGCAACAGGTGATCGACCGTGGTAATACATGTCTAGCGGGGGCCGTGGGAATGTCTATGCCGCCGCGACACAACCGAAACCACTGGGGAAAATGGATGTCCCTGTAGGCCAATTACCTTCCACGAGCCAGCTGCCTCCGATGCCCTGCAGGCTTACACTCTTCCTCAAGTTTCTGCCTGTTCCCCTCTTCCCCTCCAGTCCCTCAGAGA